CATTTATGTGGGAGTTATAGGTTTAAGAAGGTGCTAGAAAATCGTGTAGGAATTTGACTTTTCATATTCCGCGTACTTCGGTTGATACTGTACAACCTTTTGTATTTCTATCATAACTTCTTCTCCCAATATCCGATTGAGGTAATTCAAAGTGCGTTGGAAAGCTAACTCAAAGAGCTACAACTTTTCTTTAGATATCATTTTTCAAATCGAATGTTTTTTATGTCGTAAATGGGTCTCAAATGAGACTAAAAATCTGAAGTATACTTTAATCATCCAATATTCATGTTTTAGTGCCACTAAAGTGTTTAAAATTATTTGAGGTTCTATATGAATAGAATTGATCCTAAATATTAGCTGAAGCCTTTTTTTTTTGTTACTCCCTTCCAAGGCTGGGCAAAAATCTCGAATCGAACCAACCGATTCTTCTTAAATTAAATACCCGAACGAGTATCTAAATCGAGAACCAACTAGTTCAGTTTGCTTCTCGATTCTAGATCAAGAATCAAAGAACTGAATCTTTTTAATTTTTTAAATTTATTTATTTTAAATAAGTCTAATTATTTTATTTTTCTAAATAAATTTGCTAACTAATTAATTTGGCTTAAACTCAAAAGTATGATTTCCTATTTCTAATTTTTAGTCCAAGCCCCAACTTAATCAAATTTACCTTAGTTTTACCGAAATTTGTTATTCTACGGTAGTGTTCTACTATTTTGGAGAAATAGAATTGAAGCTCGACAGAACTTCTCTTAATTATTGTGAATTCTTTATCTTTCTCTTTCCGTGATTTTAATAATCAAAACTATGAAGAACTCAGCAAAGAGAAATGTAAAGACACATAATATTGAATTACGTTATTTTGTAAGAATTAAGACTGAACATTTCATTAATAGAATTAATGTAGTTTTGTAAATATTAAAAAATTAAATAGTACGAAACCTGGGTATCGAACCAAACCGAACCGAACTGAATGGATCCAAATCCGAACCGGACCGTACCTATTCCTCCTCCTTCCGTTTCATTTATATAGGCTTGTTTTGTTTTTCAAACGGACTAAGAAATCTTATTTAATGTTATTGAAAAAGTAATATTTGCCAAAAACTTTCTTAATTTACACTTCTTTATATTTCTACAATCTCAAGATTAACCGATTAAGTGAGAAATTGATTATAACTAGGCAAATTAAGTCCTTGTTTGAGCCCCATTTTTCATCAAAATATATTCTTTAATAGTGATGTGACATTATTTCAATCAAATTATTTTTTAATAAAATAATATTATACTTAAATCCAAATCTTTTTCTTATTTTTTAAGTACACATTCTCCATTATAATACTATTTCAAAATGCATTTTTTAAGAAAAATGGGGCTCAAACAACCCCTAAATAAGGGTGTACTAGTAAATCAACAGAACAAGACATTGTCAATAAAGAAACAGGACTATATAATTGGGACAAGAAAATAAGGAAAGTTAACCTATATAAATGGGACGGAGAAAGTATTAGGGACTCGGTCTTCTTTAGGTCATTGTTATTATCAAATTTGGACTAATTCATGTCAAGCCATGCTTTGATCAACTCATTGATCATCTCTATGATTTATTGCCCTTTGCAGACAACTTCAAGGAGGCTTGCTGACAGGAAGGTAGAGAAGTTTGAGAAGAACATTACCAAGCGCGGGACTGTCCCAGAGACTAGCACCAAGAAGGGAAACAATTATCCTGTTGGCCCTGTCTTGATTGGATTCTTTGTCTTTGTTGTCATTGGATCATGTAAGACATTTTTAATTTTATTTAAAAGCCCTTTTGATTAGTGCTGCATGAACTAAAACTAAGTTTTTCTTTTGATAAACTAGCGTTAATGAATGATAATTCTTATTAATTTATATGGATATGCTAGTATTAAGATAAGGATTTGCATATCCGATGAATTTTGGATTTTTATACATATTGTTTGGTGAAATTGCCCTAGTGTGTATTGCTTTTAAGTAAATCGTATTTTCTCCTATTATCTTCTTCCCCATTTGTAATGAGAGACGAATTATTAATCTCGTTTTTCTTCATCTACCAGCTCTTTTCCAGATTATCAGGACAGCGACAAGTGGGGGCATGGCGTAATCATCTTTTGATATGGTCGACGTTAGGTTGTCTTAATGTGTTGTTTCAAATATTAGCGCCCCCATGTAAAAGAAATACAGAGTACCTCTTAAATTATGTCTTGAAGAACTTTTAAAGGGATAGTAAAAATTCTTCTTTCTTGTCTGTCATTTTGATTTCCTGTATTTGGTATATCTAGTGAGGCAAATCAATATTTTAATGCGCAATTTTGAATTTTTGGCTCATCCTAGTGTTCACGTGACAATTTGATATGGTGGATTCATCGAGATCAAGTCACGTGCCATATTTGATGGCACGTGTTTAAAAATTTATATATACAAATATCAAATATGTTTGATAAATTAAGCATGCTAAATTTTGCATACAAGATTATCTTGATCAAATATTTTTCTAATTTGAAAATCAATCAAAACAGTGTTTGTTTGTAAGCCATTTTTGCTTTCAAAATGCATTTTCATATCACATCAAGTGAGCCACCATGACACACTAGATAATAATGTTTGATATTTATGGCATTTTTCCTTTTTTTACCTGTGTTTTGTTTTTTGCGCATTTTTTTTTTATTTGACAGGTTGCCATCTGATTTTAATATTCAAAGGGCAAATATAAAACTTTAAATTCAAAAGCCTAATCTTGTGCATCTAATTGTCAAATATGTGTCAAATATAATGGGTATAAAATAAGTTGTAACAGTCACTTTTCTTCTAAAAATGAGGAAAAAATGGCTCCCAACGTGAAAAATGGGACATGATGAATTATTTGCTGCCGGAGGAAGCATTACTGAAGAGAGACGGTCGCACCCAATGTCGAGGCATGACCTCAACGGGTGACCCACACACCTCGGTGTGTGTGGTGGGCCACCTGTCAAGGTGGCCCTCCCTTATAGAACAGTTGCACCACGTGAACGGTGCAACCATCCTATTGAAGTATTTCCCATTACTGAAAGAATCCTTCAGAGAAAATTGTACGAACATCATTTGCATTGATGAACAGAGCTCCCATTTTAATCAGAGACCAGCTAACTGAACCACAGCATTAATATAGTTCAATTGTACATTATATTTATACAAGATAAAAACGTAATTTATCCATAAAAGTTCATTAGAAGAGATTTTAAAAAAAAAAAAAATGGGCTGCAGTTGGCAGCAGCAGAATGAATGAAGCCAAGTTGGGATCAAATCCATTCAAGAAAGAATTATCATCCCACAAATTCCCCCACAAAATCAAGCTATAGCAGTCAAGCAAGGGTGAAAAGCAGTGCCACACGCAATCCATTGCCTCTTTATTCCACGTGGCAACACGCAACCCGGTACCTTAAGCCATTCCCGACTCGACAAATCATAAGTCACCAACCGATTCACCTGTCGTGATCTCAGTGATAGCATTAATAAACCTTTATTACCTAAGCAAGTCATCCGAACCTGTTTTCCATAGAACTCCAAGCAACATACATTTGGCATTCTGTCAACCTCCTTCCACAAAAGTGTCATCTTTTGCAGCTCCCATATGCAAACGCACGTGGCTACATTCTTGGTCAGCAGCCCCACGAGCATGATCTTTCCTCCATATTCTGCTAATGCATGATCACTCAAGTGTGGGGGAGACGGGATAATGAACTGTTTCCAAACCCCCGTGACCATGTTATAGGACACAATCCCATCAGGGAGTGAACGGGAGAAGTAAAGAGTTTTGTTAATACATACTGCCTGAGACCTGAAGTTAAGCGCCATTGGGAGCTTGATATTCGAAGGCATGTTTCCTGGATGTGTCCATGCGTTCTTTGTGGAGTCGTAGACTTCATACTCCCCATCACAACCGACCCAAAGGATCTTATATCCCTCATTGGTAGATTTTCCATTTAGAGTCATCCCAACTGCCACACGGAACCACACCTTAACAGACCGAGCAGGCAACTCTTTGAAGGACCTTGTAAGAGGGTTGCACACATAGAAACTCCTATGTCCAATGTCAAGAAAACAGACGAGGCCCCCAGCTGATGCCACTGGCAAAACAATCGATTTTGTTGGCAAGGCAGGGATAGGTGGGTGGTGCCATTTTTTCAGTGATGGATCATACATGGCTCCACTATTAATAAGTTCATGAGTGATTGTATAAAACCAAGTTTGGGTTTGATTCACTTGAGCACATTGTTGGGAGAAACTTTGGGAAGTTGGCAATGAATTCCACTTTCGGCAAACAGAACGAAAGCGGAAAAACGTGGTGATTGGAACTCTTGCTATAACAGCTTCAAAAAGGTCTTCGGGAAATTCTTTCCAGATATGTTGTTCCATACTTTCAGTTGAGCTTGTAGTTGCAGTCGCTGTTCCCTGATTACGCTCCTTTCGAGCTTTCTTTCTGGGTGGAGGTTTGCTTGGTTCCAACATTTTGAGATTTTCAGACTTACCAGCAGTCATGAGATTATAGCAACTACCTTCGCCGGGGCTATTTCCAAGATCGAGAAAACACCATCTGCCAATCAATAAAGGTTCATCAGATTTTCTGAAATTACAAAATGGAGGAGCCGTGGGGTGGATTTTACAAAAACAAACATAACAATGCAAAACAGTAACAAAGTCATATAACAGTTTGAAGAAGTTTTAACCACTTTAATAGTTCATTATGACACTATACCCAGTTTACACCATTAATAAACAAACTGTTTCCATATGCAAGATGATAGAAACAGGAAAAGTAACTATGATTTTTGAAGATTGTTAGAAATGGTAAATATTGAAAACAAATCAGTCAACAGGCAGATTAAAAGAGAGAGCCACAAATTAACTATCAGTATAACTAACGTCCAGTGTAAATGGAAAATTGAATTTGTCAACAGGGGAGTAAGATTGATTTCAATTAATCACAGAAGTTTAGAGAATGATAGAACAGAGAATGTTATAAAATGATATAGTGAAATTTTTTGGTCTGTAGATGCATGAAACAGGAAGGATAGGCCTGAACCAAACCTTATATATACAGAACTGAAGCTTTTTTTTCATTAAGAGCATATCCAAAACAATATCCAGATTTTAAAAAATCTGCCTTTCAAAAAATTGGGAATTGAAAATGATGCTATACAATATTTCATAGAATTACGTTACAAAATATTTTTTTACGCAATGTTTTGAACTTAAACATGCACTAACTCAAGTAGCACAGATAAAGTGCCATATAGACATTCATTTTTATCCTTTATTTCCATCTTTGTCCCTCTCCCTCTCCAACCTTTGACCCTTTGTGGTCTTCCAATACTCTGACATTTTGGAAAGACTATAAGAAATTTGGTGTACTTGAAGGGCCAAAGAAAAAAGAAATCTCAGAACTAAGGCATCATTTATCCCAACTTAGACATGTATACAACTATCTCAAATTTTTTAGTTCACTAATAATTAAGAGGGCACTTGGCCAAGCCTAAAAGATAGAAGATAACATTTAGTTTTCAAACATATTTGTATATGTTATTTTCTTAATACTTCTAAGGAAAAAGTTACTTATTCGAAAAGTAATTATTGTCTTATGGTCAAACTACTTTGATCAATAAAAATGATTTTAAAACTTTATTGTCTTATGGTCAAACTACTTTGATCAATAAAAATGATTTTAAAACTTACTTACTAACATATAAGTAGTTTTTAAGCTTAAACAAGCACGCTCTAAATATCCTAGAGATATGCTGGCTGTTGTTGTACATCATAACTTCATCTGAAGTAAATTTTCAGCACAAGTATGGAAAGGCATTTGAGTAAGGCACCATTTATATTAATGACTTCATTTCAGGAAAGTAATATGTCAATAAGAACAATTGATTAGAGGAAAACAAATAAGGATAACAAAAAGTGTACGCTTAGAATTCTTACAATTAAGAACAGAAAACCTGTGTGTTAAAATTAATTCATGCTTAATTTGAGATAGAAAAGGTCACCAAATCCTATCTCCAAATACAGTAATAGGGAAAGTGAGTTTTCCCTGAAACTTGAAAGATCAGAATAACTAGCTAACTCTGAAATATCTTTAGCAACTGCATGAGCTGCTTGGACTGACAACAAACAATTTGTACCATCATGCACCACCAAACTTCACTGTGTAGCCACAACAGAACCAGTACAATTGCTAATGCTGGAACATCCAGAATTAGTCGTGCCATTTTATAATCTAGTGGATACTTCAATAGATAGGAAAGCAAGGCAAGGAGCTTGAAGATGTGAGTTCTCAGAAATATTTTAAAGAACAAGAGTTCCATGTTCATGAATGAGTTGAAAATAGTCCTTAAATTGTTCCCAGATTACAACTTGACTATTAAAAGTAGAAATTATAGCAAAAAATGATGAAGCAACGCATGCAACTGCAAACTCCCTAAGAGAGATTTTGTCCCTGCATTGGTGCTTATAGAATTTCCTTGTGTTTTCTGGAATGCTATGACTAATAGCACAGAGCAATCTGGATTCGTAGGTGGCGAGATTTTTGGATCGGGACATGATATGACAGTCCAGATCTTTTCTAACGCAATGGTTGTATCCACACATGAAGTGCAACGTATGCCTCTAAAGAGCCCTTTGTGAAGTGCACTGTGCTGTTCTGGACACTGGTCATGAGTGGTGGGGGGCCCTTGTGACTAGCCATGGCTAGAACAAGGTGTAGCTAGAGGAGATGTCCTAAATTATATCTTAGAAAAGTAAACCGCCTTACAAGCTAGTCAATTTATAGCTCAATTTCTAATGTGGAATTGCATCCCACTTATAAAGACACGATTAAAGTTTTTTTTAAATCTTTTCATCGTAGGCTCTTTAGAAACTTATTCCTATTCATACAAATCTCCATTTAGCTCTTATGGAAAGGATTAATTACCACCTAATCAACGCCATTGATTTGACATGGGACACACCTTAAAAGTCCCTCAAAGTTAGCAAAGAAAATCGTTATTAAAACCATCTAATTCCAACATCATCTAGAACGGTTAATTTTTCCCATAAGTCAAGTCCTAAGTCATACCAGTAATCCCTGAAATCCATTAAGTTTTCTTCTGTCATTTTCTGCCCCAATAGTTAATTTTGTAACCAAGATGTCATATTACGGTATTTTCCATCCTGAAATTTAATGTGCACCAAATGCTATCATTCCGAAAGGTAAACTGCAGAGGATTTATTTTCTTGACATGCTGTAGACAGTAGCAAATACATGACCACCTGAATATCTAAAATATTCTGCAATCCCGAACCTCCACTCTGTG